GTATAACTCAGTGTGAAGGTCCTGGGTTCAGTCCCTAAATAAATAAATAAATGGCTGGAGGTATAACTCAGTGTGAAGGTCCTGGGTTCAGTCCCCAGTCCCAGAAACAAAAAGGTATAGGCTGGGGATGTAGCTCAGTAACAGAGTACTTACCTACCATGTGTGAGACCCTGAGTTCCATCCCCAGTACCGCAAAACAACAACTAAGGCTTCTGCAAGTCCCAAATCTAAGGCAATACCCAAAAGAGGTTTCCAGAGTTAATTTAAGTAGGCATCGACATGTGTTAAGGACTAGTAAATAAAGTAATAGTTGTAAAAATGTAGTTCATGTTCTGTATATCATTTTTGTGTAAACATACTAACTGCCAAATATTTATGTGGTTATAGTCATAGACTTTACTTGCAATAGGAAAACCAGTAATTTGTTTCAGTCACTGAAACATGCCTTAAGGGATTGCCTCCTTTTCAGACCTTGAGATCATAACCCACGTGCCAGGGTCTCCTGGTGTGTTGCATGAAGACTTGGCATGGTACTAGACAGAGGCAGCCTCTTAGGAATTGCTTTGCAAATTATAAAATAGCCATGAGTATCCCACAGCCATACTGATCAGATGTTCATACTGTGGTTCTTTCCTAGTTCGAGAGCCCATCTGGACTTCCACCATCAGAGATGACTGCAAAGGTAAGATTACCTTTTGTCTTATGAGTTCAAAAAAATTTAGTCTTTAAATTCTTGATGTTCTCATTCCATGATGGAGAAGATCAAACAAGTACAGGTTGAGCATCACAGATCCAAATATCCAGAATGATCCAAAATCCAAAACTTTTTGAGCTCTGACATGACCTTCAAAAGGTTTCAGATTTTGAAGCATTTCGCATTTTGGATTTTCAGATTAGACATGCTCAACCAGTGAAAGTGTATGCAAACGTTCCAAAATTTACAAGATGACTGAAAGTGAAATGCTTCTGGTTCCGGGCATTTTGGATAAGATGTATTCAGTCTGTACCTCAGAAAACTAAAAAAGCATCAAGTGTAATACTAAACATCTCTTGTCCCAGACATTGAAGGGTGGACTGGGCCAGCAGGTTAGTTTAGGGAGTAGAAGAGGAGGAACCAAAGGCTCTCACAGTCTTCAGTTAGAATTGACAGCCATTTCTAACTTGGAACTAGTAAAGATAGCCAAGATGATAAGCGTAGGACCTTTTATCTCCCCCTGCGTCTTATCTAAAAATAATATTATTAGCATCTGTCCTCATTATAAGGCTCTGTAGCCTTAAACAAATTGTCTTGTGTGTAACTGATGTATACATACTCAGAGAGCAAGTGTGCGTATACTGGGTTTCTGTGTCATGGTACAGACCTGTCTTTTTTACCTTTTTCAGCCCACTGGCATCCTCAGGAGAGTAGGGATCTAGTAGATTCTCAGTATATATCCGTTGGTTAGTTGATGAGACATTGGAACATCTCTTAAGGATGAACTGTTTGGTGGCTGATCTGTGCTTGCCTTTATTTTGTAGGCATCAACATCAAAAGCTGCCATGTCTTGGTATTCTCATCCAGTATATGCAAGATACTGGCAACATTATCATCAAGTGATGGCTTGGATGCGAAACCACCAGGTCGCCTACAGGAAGGCTGTGGAAGCCTATTTCAGTTTCCCGTGGTACTTCCCAAATTCACTTTCACCCCAAGGCTCTTACGATAACAATGCTGGAGATCCTCAGTCCTACTATGGCCATCGCATGGCCTGGCAGAACTCCCACTGCAGCTATTCCCATGACGGAAGGGCTGAGCAGCCTCTACGTGACAGTGGTAGGATCCAGCCCTCCACAAGAGAAGACCAAGCTTTGTTGGAAGAGGAGGAGGTCGAGATAGAGTCAGATGATGAGGTAGAATATGACCTGAGCAATATGGAAATCACTGATGAGCTCCGCCAGTACTTTGCCGTGACCGAGAGGCACAGAGAAGAGAGACGTAAGTTCCAAACAGTATTTCCTCATGCTGCCTTTCCTTGTCCTAACTTTAGCATCCTTTTTCTTACCTAATATATCAAGTTATTTTTTAGCCCTTCATTTGGGTACAGGTATATTCCAAATCCAGTCTGAAGCCTGGAAAAGCTAAGGTGATGTTGCACCTCAATTACATTAGTTTCCAGAGCTGTTTGTTTTAGTTCCAGAACAACGCTTATCCTAATAATACCTCTGCCCTCACTGAACATGAGCCACTCTGCCAGACAGAGCATATACTTGTGCATATATTCCCTAACTCGCACGATAGTCCCTCAAGGCATGAAACCTATTTTACAAATGAGGAAAATGAACCGTAAGAAGGTTAATCACACAATTAGTCAATTTGGTATTAGGATTCAAAGCATGTGTGCCTGACTCCACTTCCTGTGCTGCTTCCTCTATGCCAAGGCTTGTCGCTGAGACAGCGTGGTTCCTAAAACACCATACCTGAGCCACTTCTCTGTGATGCACCCCAAAGACATTCCTGGTACTGCGCAGCTTCTGGGTCTTAAATTCCTCCCTACAACAGCACGAACCTAAACAGAGTAACAAAATGTGCAGTTCCTGTGTCAGAGAATTGCAAAAAAGGCCTAGTGTCTTCAGTCAGTCAGAAAGCTACAATTCTGTTTTTAAGTTTCTTAGTACCTGGCTGCAAAGAACTATCAAGATTCACCAGACCATATATATTTTAAGTACCTCTGACAAATATACAAATGCTTTTCTGTCTAAGTTAACCAGTATCCAGTCTCCATATTCTTTTTTAGTGAGGTCTAATTGTATGAAATTTTATGTAGAATTTTCTAATGAGCAGAAACACAGACGCCCAGGAATGGGCAAGTTGAATCTCTGTCTTACACTCTCTGTGTGTTCCTATCGATGGACTAGCATTTACCCATCTCCACTGGATGCCACGAACTGAGCAGCAGCCTTTGTATGAAATGTCGTGTCCCGTAGTATCTGTGCCTGTGATTCTTTACTAAACTACTCATGCAGTAATCTTTACTGTCCTTCTTTTGATTAAACTGTTGACTTCTTTGGTGCATATTAGAAAGTGTGTCCCAATGAATATTTCTCAAACAGTACCTTCTATTACACATACAGTGTATTTCTTCCCTCGACCCTCCAGAAATAAATTATACCGTTTATCAAAATTCATACCAAGCATCCATCAGTCTAATTTAAGAGTATACAACAAATGAAGGAGAATAGGCATTGGAGCGTGTGCACATTTGGCTGGAATGCTATTTGTTACAGCTTTCAAAAAAGGAAATGTGATGGAGATAGAGTTTATGACTATGGTGCTTACTAGGAAGTGGAATAATATGGTTTTCCCACCAGCTTTTATGGTGGAAGTTGTAATTAAGGATGAGAGCAAACCTTGGGCATCCTAAAGGTCATTTTGAATTATCTGCTGACTTAAAATAACCCTTAAAATAGTTATTTAGTAAGAAACATGGATGTAAATAAAATAATATCCTTAAAACCAAATTTTAAAATGTAAGCAGTTATGGATATGATTAAGAACCATTTGTGCTCTTCCATATTGCCCTTGTGGAATTCCCAGCCGGTGAACAAGGTCATGAAAATTACCTGCTAGGTAATGATAAGTAATGGCACTTACTGTTACTTGGAATGAAGAAATGATGTCTTTCGGTATTAATTACAAGCTTTCAATCAGTGGTTACAGCTCTTGTCTCTTAGAGTGCTGTGCTTGCTACAGTTCTGTGATATGTTTCACCAAATGAGTTAAGCTTTCCATGTTTTGTAAATTTGATCAACTGCATTTCTTCATTGACTGCTACTCCCAAATCTGCTTACTTTATTGCCAAACTCCAAATTTACTGTTTTCGTCATTGTCCTCTGTTGAATTGTATCCCCTTAAAAAGATGAGCTGGAGGCTTTCTATTCCCCAGTACCTCAGAATGTGATCTTATTTAGAAACAGGATCTTTGCAGAAGTAGTGGAGGTAAAATGAAGTCATGCAGGGGCCCTTATTCATGTGATGTGTGCTTTATTAAAAGAGGAAAATGCGGACTTAGAGACAGACACCCATAGAGGGAGAACATGGTATGAAAATCGGCATTACACTGCTGTAAGCCAAGGGCTGTCCAGGGGCTGGGAGAGCAGGCTGGGGTGTGGCTCAGAGATAGAGCTCTTGCCTAGCATTCACACGGCCCTGTGTTCAATCCCCAGCACCACAAAAAAATGTACAAACAGCAGCTGGGAGAGAGTTCTGGAACAGATCCTTCCCTAGCACCTTCAGGGAAAGCACGGCCCTACTCACACCCTGATTTCAGACTCCTGACCCCTGGAACCCAAAAGCAGTACATTTCTTTCTTCAGAGCCACCTAGTTTATGGTACTGTGTGATGGCAGCCCTGAGAAACTAATGCAGTCGTACTGTGAGAATTTTCTTTGCTCCCTGTGTTGTCATTGCAGGCAATCTGTGACTGGGACTTAAAGTAAACCACACATAGCTTTGGCCATCTTGGTAAAGAGAGTGTGTTACATGTTTGTTTAAAAATAATCTAGGTAGGTGGCCAGGGATTTAGCTCAGTGGTTCTGCCGGCCTGCCTCAAAAGCGCAAGGACCCGAGTTCGATCCCCGGTACCAAAACAAAAAAATCTACGTAACAAACCATCAGAAAAGAATTTTACGAAAGGCAGTGGACATATATGTCATTAGGAGCAGGACACGGGCCACTGTGGCAGAACAGCTCGGATCCCAGGGTTCCAGCCTGGCAGCCCCACCCACTAGCCAGAGGTGCTTATTGTCTTGTGGGACCCCCTGCCTCCACTGTTCTGTGCCTCCGCCTTCTCACCTGTGAAGTGGGGATCCTCGTTAAGGGGGTGATGATCACGAAAAAGAAATGAGTTCATACAAGAAGGGTCATAGAATGGTGCTTGGCACAAAGGCAGTACCCAGGAAGTGTCAGTTGTTAGTTAATTGCTAGTACCCCATCCTTTAACCTGATGTATTGACCATACATTGGCTTTGCCCTGATTAGTTTATCTTGATTAGTGTTTGATTGAAATTCTACCTACAGTATTTTTAGTAAGATGTTTTGTGGTTTCAGAAAGGTCGTATATTTCTGCTCTGGGTAATTCCTTTCAAACTTTTAACTAATTTGGAATATTGAAGATATGAAAGAATTAAAATTGTGCTATCTTTCATACTTAGTCATTAACATGATTTTTAGTTGATTCAAGAACGTTCTCGCTTGCTAAAATGTAATATAGTAAAATGCACAAAATGAATCCGCTCCCATGTCACTAATAGCACTAAACACAACAGGCTTTGGGTTCTTTGTGCCTTTGAAACGTGTAGTTGGGGCTGGGAATATAGCTTAGTGGTACAGTGCTTGTCTAACATGCACAAGGCCCTCAGTTCAGTCTCCAGCACCACAAAAATAAATAAGTGAGTAAATAAATAAATAATGTAGTTGGTGCACAGTTCAAAACTACTTCTCCCAGAGTCTCTGCAGTTGCTTTCATGTCCTACAGCCTACCCTGAAAGCATTATCCAGTCCCTGGTAAGTGAGAATTGTCTGGAGAAAGTGAGAACTCGGCATGATACAGGATTTGATCTGAAGACTTGGTATATATTAGAAGAAGCTGCCAGGGCCTGATCCTGCACCAATGAGAAAATAATGGGCAGCAGGTCACTAACATTATCTTTGTCACAGCCTTTTTGGGGTACAAGATGGGCATGTTCCCTCTAGCAGGAATGAAGGATAGAATTCATGTGGAAGTCATTTGAATTCCCGTGGCGCTTTCTAATCCATTGCCTTCACTAGAAATTTTCATGGAGATTTAGTTAACGTACACAGTTGGGAAAAGCTTTAAGAAAGAGATAAGGATCCTGGGTAGTGTGAATAATTGGGTATGGTGTTTTTGCTTTGTATTGCTCTTTGAACCACTAGAACTACTTGTTCAAACAGGGCAAATTCAACTTGGAACATGAATCGTGCAGAGGACACAGGATTTTATAAAATATTACTAGCAAGGGAAGTCATAGCTGAATTTTAAATTTTTAACTTTTCAATATTATTCACTTCCATAGAAACATGTGAGTTATACAGTTTATCATCTGAGTCTTAATACTTTCTGAGGATAATATCCTTCACACTAGATAGCAGGTTCTTCTTTCTCATCTCTGCCCTTCCAGGTAGTCTCCAATTTACTATTTTTCAATAACAAAAACCCGAAAGAATTAAGAATTCCTTTTGTGCAGTAGGAGCATGCATGCTTTTGATTATGTTACATATTATCATTTCCTAACACCATATTTCCATTACTTAAAACATCAATGGTAATGTTGCTTATGAGAAAGTAGACAGTTGAGAATTTTTAAGGTCAGCTGAGTTTTCAGTTATTTGCTTAGGAAAAAATGTTTACTACTAGGTTAAGACATGTATTTTTTTAGCCATAAGTGGCCATCACTATAGACTGCAAGGCTATCTTCCTAATACTTAGAGGGAGCCCGAGAGAAAGTTACCATCCCACATAGGGAATAAGGCCTTTGGAAATAAACACTGACCCTGTGGCTTGGGGCTGTGCTACTCAGATGTTTATCATCTGTGTTTGGGGGGTAGGTGTTGGGTCAAAACAGGGATGTAGTCTCAAAGGATATGATATGCTTTAGCCCAGTTAGGAAGAGGGTACAAAATCAGATTTAAAATGATGCATACAAGAGTATCTGTGGTGTGGTCCATGATTGCTACTGCAAATGAGGAGTAGAGCTGATGTCCTAGACAAGGAAAAGAAGAGCTTTGGGGGTGGAGGGAGTAAAGGAACGAACTCTAGGCTTTGTGGGATGGCATCTGTTTGGAATGAAGAAAAGGAGTAAGTCAGCTTCTTGCTTAGACACTAACATGCTGTTCTTTCCAGAGGGCCAAGATGTGGCGTTTGTACATCTGATGGGAGCCATCTGCTCACTGTTCTGTGTTTACCTGAGTCAGAAGGTG